ACATTCGAACACTGCTAAACCTGCCCGCCAGTTCTGACTTACATACAGAATCAACTGAAGACCCCCAGGCGCCCCAAGTCAGCTGCTGCTGAAACTGATCAGCAGCTGATTCCAGGAAGCCCGGGGCAGAGCAACTCTGCTTCGGGCTTCCTGTAGTCAGCCGCTGGTCAGTTTCAACAGCGGCTGAATCTGGACGCCAGTTCCAACTTACATACAAATTCAACTTAAGAACAAACCTACAGTCCCTATCTTGTACGTAACCCGGGGACTGCCTGTACTGGATCAATGGGATGTACGTGAAATTCAATTGTTTCTCATAAAATGGAAAGGGAGGGGTCTGGTAGGAGGGAGTTATACTGTGGAATGACCACAGGGGGCACCCAGCCTGAAAGCCTGTCCTGTCCCGGGGAGGAGCTGTTGGCCTCTGTGTGTCCCTTGTCCTCCATGCTGGCCCTGAGGAGCACTGGTGGGCAGCCTCTGTGGCTGGCCCCAGAGCAACACCCATGGCCAAGGTGCAAGGCACCCTTCCACCCCCAGGCTAGCCCCCAGGTGAAGCCAGCAGCTGGGATGCATGGCTCTGCAATAATGGCAAAACATTTGATGCTGTTGGCTCAGCACCTCTAAACTGGACCTTAAAAGGTCCATTTTACTCAAGAGGGCAAGGGCTCACTGCTTAGGGTGCTAGAGTGGGACTCGAGTCCTGGGTTCTGTTCCCTGCATGTGATCTCAGGCAAGTCACACTCTCTCAGCTTCCCATCTATACAATGGAGAAAAAAGCATTGTCCTACCTCACAGGGGTGTTATAAGGAGGAGCATGCTTAAGGATTGTGAGGCACTCAGTTACTATGGTAACAGGAGCTCTATACCTGCCCGAGAGAGAGGCCTAAATAGGGATTTAGGAGCCTCACTTTGGCACTAGAGTTTGAAAATGTTCTGCTGCACTTACATACCGTTAATTACTTTCTACAGTAGAGATAACATGGCCATTCCACTAGGGAGCAGTTGTCTGATTCTGGAATCAACAACATGACTGGAGCGGAGCAGGGGGAGACCCCAGATGCACTGTTTGCTTGTTCATAGGAGATGCTTCTCAATGATTACCAGACAGTGTCATTCTGATGGCACCCATGTTGATAATATCACCGAAAGGTGCATCAATGCAGCCATGGAAGCATGTGCTAACTGTAATAGTAACTTGTGTTACCACCCGTAGCTACTCCTTAATTACAGTTTGTTAAACATTTGGCTTTCCACATCTCAGGGCAAAGCAGCTGCACAGGGGTAAGTCTACCCATGATGGAGCTCTTCACGTCTTGCTCCAGAAATGTACATCTCAGCCCCCACATGAGGTCACAGGGTAGGACTTTGCTGATGAGGCTGGATTCATCGTGAGACCACAACCTGTCAGCTACTGTGCTAAACTAAGGGAGTAAACTGGAGATGTTACTAAAAAAACCCTCTAATTTTATTATTTTGTCTTAGATTTCAGAGAACGTTTCCACTAACTCTACTTCAGAGAAACCAGATCCTCCCAACAAACGATGGATATGCATGGGAAGTTTCAGTCTGTGTCTTGCAAATACTGAATATGTATAAAATATATTCAACCACACAGAGTAGGATTTTCAGAGGAAGTGCCCAGGTCCCATTGAAAATACCTGAGCATTCACTCATTTTCTTTATATATCAACTACATGTCTTACCCCGGAGTATTGTCCTGGTTTCTAAGAGATTGGGAAGAATGAAACCCCAGCTGTGTGTTATTCCTTTATTTGGAGGAAGAAGTGACACTGACACAAATATTATGTTGTTCTCAAATATTTGTTGTTTTTCCTGGCTATTAACATATTATAATATATTATTTCTAATGATCCCCTATTGCCACATATTTGTGCACTCAACATCTTGAGCAGGGCTCCCAGCCTCCCTGGTGACAGCCTGGTCCAAGCTGGGATTTTCAGGGTTTCAAGGCTGCTAGCTTTTTAATAGCCTCTCTTGGGTGGGAAGCTGGAGATCCAGCAGCTCAGGGAGCCTTGTCAATTTCCTTTCAAAAACATCATTTTCAGTTTTTCTACATGAAAATGGGAATTTCAAAATTGGACTGTTGGTTCCAATGTGCAACAATTCTTATTTTAGTTTTGGAATTTCCTCTGGAACCAGCATTCCAGGTTCTAAGTCCTGCTAATGGAACCCATCAATTTTTTTTCAGTAGGGGAAGAGTGATTATATGGAAGAAGGAGCATCTCATGTATCCACTTTCCCCCTGCTACTGCTTCTTCCATGGTTTTGATCCCTACTGCCTCACTTGGCTGTGGGCAGTACAGATACCAATAAATGGGATGTTTTAACCTGTCTTAAATGCTGTGTATAAGGCCAGCACAGGGATCAGATAGGGTTTTATAATGGGGATGGGGTTGAGAAACTGTCATTCGAGCTCTCTGAGCAGATGAACATATGGGAGGGAATTACATAGAGGAACATTCCATATCATGCAAGCATCAAGGGGAGATGACCGCGCATCATCCTCTGTTGCTCTCTTTTCACTTAGTGCTAGCCTGTGCGAGCTGTAAAGGACACAATCGGTCTACTAGTTCAAATCAATGTTCACAATGGTGAGTAAAGGTTTTCCATAGATGGGAATTTTTTTGGGACAGGAGTTCCCCTGTTGTAGTTGTAGCCCTGAAGGTAAGATGGTGGG